ACCCAGGTTAAATACATAAACGAACATATGAGTTAACTACCATTCAATCAAAACATCAACATCAGGCACACAGAAACAATATTAAATAACATCATTTACCACGAGGTGAAGCATAACAAACCCTGCCTTCCATTTTCTCTTCCAAAACTATGACGCAATATAAAAAAATGACAGACGCTTCAAATTATGAAATTTATAATTTATATGACGATCAAGAACACAGTGTCACGTGTATGTCAGCAGGAGTGAAGGAGAAGGGCGTGCATCACCAACAGAAATCAAGAGCTTGTATTTTAAAGTACAACAGCACTGTACTCTCAACTGTGTGGCATAGCATCGTGTACTCTACTGTACATAACTCAGGGCCCTATTATACCTCCATGGGGCTGACTGACACCAGTGCCCCCTCACTAACTGATTGGCTCATAGACGGGCGCCTCGGTGGTGCCATCCACCTACTTAGGCAATGGCTGATTCATCTAGGCCAGGGCTACTTCATGCTAACGTACTTCATACAGTACTGCCGTATGCCTTCAGTTGTCACACACATCTTTTAACCAAGTGTTGAGCACAGGGATGAATTTTGCTTTTAAGTTTCCAGGGGTTACTCTACGATCAAGCTGACCAATTAAATACTATATACGAAAAAGTTTTGTAAAATCAAATGAATATCGTGAATACATATTAATATAAAGACCATGATTTCATGGCTGTCGAAACCAATTAACACAATATATAGTAATGTGACAAGTCTCATACACCAAGGTTTAGCTACAGGTAACCTACTTTCAGCGGTGAGACCTGTACCCTCTTAACATAATCCTATATCCACCACAACCGAGCCGTAATTAGATCATCTAAATCTGTCATCATTAATTATAAAGCATCATTAATATACCGAGAAACGAATGGTTGATAATCGTAATTACCAGTTTTGTGATATCCTCTGGTGATCAAGATTTAAACCCAATAAAATTCTTCAAGGAGAGAGAGAGAGAGAGAGCGAGAGATAAGTTACTTCTGGAGAGGTAGCTGGTGACACAAACCTTACATCAGTGTACATAAGAAAATAAGGAGTCTGCAATGGGCCGGTTGGCATGTGCAAGGCAGCTCCTGTCGAGAGTTACAACCACTCTCTATCGTCAATGAATCTATCTAGCCTCCTTTTAAAACTTTCCAGCGTCCCAGCACTTACTACAAAGTTGCTAAGCTTGTTCCACTCGTCTACCACCCTATTTGTGAACCAGTCCTTCCTATCTCCCTTCTAAACCGAAACTTATCCAACTTAATCCGTTGCTACGAGTCCTATCTTGCTCGGATATTATAAGAACTTTATTTAAATCTCCTTTATTGATTCCTTTCACCCACTTAAATACTTCAATCATATCCCCCCGCACTCTTCGTCTTTCTAGGGAATGCAAGTTTAGTTTCTTTAACCTATCCTGATATGGAAGGTTTCTAAGTACCGGAATCATTTTCGTCATTCTTCGCTGTACCGACTCCAGTGAATTGATATCCATTCTATAATAAGGGCACCAGAACTGAACCGCATAATCGAGGTGCGTCATGATAATAAGTGTACACAAAATTCCTGCACACACTGGAGGGGACTCGATCCACCTTAGCCACTATTTCAAGGTAACTAAACTTCACAAACTACTGCCGTGTTTGATCGTTGACAAAAATGAGCCAACGTGTTGTGGTGTGCTGTTAACGTTGTGTTTTGATGTCCACGGAGCCAGACTAAAGGAATATTGGCGGCATCAGTGTCAAGTGCCTGTCGCGCTCTACATCAACGGCCAAGCCAACGTTTGCCATCACCTAACCAACCTACAATCACTGCTCTAGTCTCACCCCCTCCATTAAACGCCAACACACGCCCACTCATTCGCGTTCGGCACTCTTTAGTAATTCAAAGAGCCCAACAGAGGTGTGGCCTTGACCTTGTCAGTGGCATAGTTACCTTATTCGCTTTATTGTGGGTCATAAAGTCTGAGTTATATTTAAATTGAGGTCATAAAGTCTGGGTTATATTTAAATTGAGGTCATAACTCTTGTTGGATAGTTATATATGAATTCGGAAATAGGACTGGGGACATATTGAAAGTAATTTGGTACAGTACTATTGGTCGTAGTTAGGAAACTGGGATCCACACGATCAAAGCTCAAATCACGTCAACGCTCATACATAATCTACTCAACTGATGTCAGGTATGGTGTACTTTTAGACTACTGAAACACGAGGTTCTGAGGTAAATCTTCCTTCCTTCATGGGCACAGGATAGAGAGAGGAATGTCTGAAAGAATAATACCGAGAAATATTTATTTGCATTGTGTAATTAATATTTTCAAGAGAATAAATAGCTATAATGACAGTACTATATCGAATTTCGAGCTGACCAGGGGCGAGAGGATGATGTAACGGTAAAAATGGGAGTGACAGACCCTGAGGTAGAGGAGGCTCACTGAGTCTACCCGGACCAACAGCCAGCAAAATGAATATTACAAACAAATACGTAACGCCCTATTGAAGCTTTCCCTCCACACTCTTTGAGATCCCCCACTTGGCAACATCACATAAACAACCTTCATTAAAGAGGCGGCCCTTGTGAGCAGCATACACAAACTATGATTAAGTTTACCCTGACATAGTTACACGTTTTTCTACTCCAGTGTGGTCTACCCACAAACCTCTTTTATATCATAGCGAATTCACGGCCCTTTCGTGGCGTTAACCACACTTGGTAACCACTTTTTTGCTTAAGTAGAGTGAGGGGAGATATGATAGAGTAAATGGAAGTCAGGGTTAAACAAAGGGGACATTACAAAGGTACTCAAACTATCCAACCAGGAGCGAACTCATAACAATGGTTTTAAATACGACAAATTTAGATTTAGGCGCGAAATAGGTAAACATTGGTTTGGAAATAGAGTATAGTGGACGAGTGGAACTAGTTACCAAATGTCACCATTAACTCGAATACGCTGGAGAGCTTCAACCATAGGTTGGATGCATATATGAGCAATAGGGGTTGTGTTTAAATGGGATTGCCCAGTATGGGTCAACAGGCCCGCTGCAGTTTCCTCCATTCTTATGTTCTTCTGTGTTCCTTCTGCATTTACACAGTTTTAAAGGTATGGTGAAATTTGGTAAGGAGGTGCGAGTGGACTTCCATAATTTTGAAGATAGAAGGCTGAAATTTGCTAGAGGCCCGGGTGGCTTAGGAAATGATGCACCTTCTGTCCCTACACGAAAGACACGTCGGCTCCACATAGGATACCCACGACCCCCACGAGTTGGTCCACAGTTTTGAAGATAGAGGACTGATATTTGGTAGGGGGGGGGGGTGTGAATGGCCCAGGGGGGGTGGTCATACACTATCACCTGTCACTCTACCCAGGCGAAGCCGGATAACTCAACTACAGTAGTTTCATAAAAAAAAAAGTCAGGCCATCATTTAGAAGCAGTCACTAAGAGTAAGTTGAAATGAAGAATCCTGTAAGAACTTTACTGTCTGGACTAAATGTTATTTAAGCAATTATATGTGGCACTCGTGAGACAACGTCTCGAGTATGCAAATCAAGTCTAGTGTCCATACTTTCTATACTGTAGTATAAAAGCAACCAGGCGAGTACCAATACTGAAGGAGTCGACTTATGAGGATAAATCTAAGAAGCTAAATTTACCAACGCTGGCGGCTGGCCTTAGCAAACTAATACAGCACCAATAATTGCACAGGTAGCAGTTGAAGATGTTGATATTTGGACATGCAGGCCTGCTTTCTTCGCCCAATATAATCATAAGTACAGTACTTGTAGTAAGGACTGTGTATACAACAACCACATCTAACTGTTTCAATACGCATTATGTAATTTCTACCACCACTAGTTTAATGTTAAGGAACTCCAGGAATCCGTCGTAAAATCAAACTACAGTAGAGGAGCAATTTGCATATCATCGGTGTCTCCGACAACCCCTAACAAATCCACCATTGTTTCCTTGCCCCATTCCTCCTCTCTGCGGACTGGTCAGACTTGGCAACTGCCCACAACAAATACTAACCCTGAAATGCTGCGCTGTTTTCATGCACTGGCTTTTAAAACCTCAGCAATCTTCTTTCAGATAATGCCGTAAAGTTCAAGTTAACTTGTACTCTTTGCATAACAATTATTGCACAGGCAGATACTGACGTAAGGATGCCAAAAACACTGAAAATCGGGAAAATGTATTTTAGGTATATAAAATTTTCCCTGGTGTCAAGTAAAATCAAGTCAAATGACTGGTTTATGTAGAAATTTCGTAGATTCGCAAACAACTTTTGCTTTTTAATATTTAAAACTATCTTAACAATTAATAACCTCCTCATTCACCAGTATGAATATTATCTGTACATAAAAAGTAAATGTTTACCAGGGAACAGTGTATAGCAGGAGTGTCAAGCCTAGCTCAGGCACGTTTGAGGTGGTGGCTAAGCTTTACGCGTTTTCAACTGTATTTACAAAGAAATCATGTCTTGCATATATACATAATCCCCGTAGTATAGTGCTACTTAAAATATGAACTATTATACACACAAAAATCACTCACCAAATAGCAAGAACAAGTTAACGCCACAGTCTCTTATTAAAATCCTGGAAGGCTCGAGACACACTGTCACCCGCTTCACTACCAGTTCTCGACTGAGCGTAATGATAAACTCTCCAAGAGATAGGCGATCACGAATGGCCAGAGGATAAACAAAAGAGCATCATAAATATATACGTTTTTAATAATAAAGGAACTTCGAACTTTTATTGTTTATATATATTATTACTCGCATCTCTTTATATTGACTTGTTTACCTTATAGCTTTATACATTAATGTAAATACAAAATTATCCTTTATACATGACAATATTAAAGACTCTCTGTTGTTAATACATTTTGTTATATTATCGTTATTTCCCTGTTCCTTTCCGTGTTATGCTAAGGTTAACACCACAGTTGTAGGAGTAAGAGAGGAAATGTTTATATAGCAGTTAGGGACAGCGACTGCGCCCGTCAGTAGTGGAGGGTCAGGCTGCATGGTCATCCCCAGGCTTCTTCCATACACTGACTCACTGATCAACTTCACCACTGACAGGTAGTTTGCGTAGTCGTCTGCTGCCAGTCTCATTTATATCTCTCATTTTTTCGTTCCTCATGTCGTGTTAAATGAGTAATTAGTTGGTTATTGGTTAGTATTTTGGTCATCAAGCTCCAGTAATCTTTAAGTTGGATTAAATAACCTGAAATGATGGGAGAGCCTAACAAGGTGTATGTGCTTAAAAAAACCATATATGCCACTGGTTATATACAGTATGCTAAATAATTTGGGTCTCACCATAATTTGCTTTCACAAACATGAGACCGAATTGATCAAAGTACTGTACAAACCTGCAGTGAAGTAGAACATAATCATCATTACAGTATAACTAAATATCTTTAGATTAGTTTGGGTAAGTGAGGGCTAGTTAGGTATAGATTTTTTTCATGATACTTTGATTTTTTAAAGTGAAGAAACAACTGGTAGATCATTAATGTTAAAGGTTAATATTTACAACTAACCCGCGGAGGAGTTATTTTTATTACTGTTTATTTTCTAACTTTATTTTTATCTGTGAGTTCTGATATGATAATCATTTCTTGTGCAAATTTTTCGTTTCATAGATAAATAGGCGCCAAGACGTGCACTAGTTTGTCTTCCCTGCGATAATGAGGCCGCGTTCTGGTGCTATGCTTTTCCCGGGTTCGCGGCGGTTTAATTTGCAGTGTGACGTGTGAAGGTTGTCGCCGGTCTTAAATGAATGTAATTTGCGAATTTAGGGAAAAAGACAACGAGACCCTTCAATTGTTCAGAGACCACGGCATTGTTCCTTTAAGTAGAGACTGTCCACACTGCGAGAATTCCTGTGCTTTCAGACCAGAAAGAAATTTGTGCATCACTTCCTCAACGCCGTGGCTTGACGTTTCCGGCTATCACAATAAATCACTCAGCTGCCAGGGCTGCATATTTGCCGATGCTCCCGCATCATCTCACATCCAGAAATTGCCTCAAATTTCGCCATATCATAGTAAGTTCTTTCTGTTTAATATACCGGGGGGTCCAGGGGGCAGAGCTCCCCGGTGAAAACGTTAGATTGATTTGTTTGGTTAGGTCTGTTCTTCATACCCACAAATGTTGAGTGACATTTATTTTAAAAATATCAATTTTTTAACACATTTGCACAAACTACAAGTGTCCACTATAAAATAACAGTGAAAATCTGGCGGTTTTATAACCGTTGTAAATAATTACCATGTTAAAATGCAAATTAGCCAAATTTGTGCAGCTTTATTTTTGTCAACGCCTGCATTGAATATGATTCATCTAAAATTTCTTGATTTACTTTATCCTCTTCACCATAATTGGCTTGTTAGTTGCTTGGGCAGTCTGTCACGTATCTTTTTTGCACTGTTGGCAAATACTGTACTGAGCATGTACTTGGTCTAGAATGTATCTGTACCTACACCAGTGTTGGTCAAATTTGGTCTTGAAACGGCTCACACTCGGTGCCATCACAACATATCTGACAGGTTGCTCCAAGAGTTTACAACCTATATTCCAAACAAATTTGCCCTTTTAGTTTTCTGTACTTTGGGTTTCTTCAAACTTAAGCTGTGACCCTACCAAAAATTACAAGTTTCCTGGACGCTGGTTTCCTCCTGTACTAACACTGGATTTGACCAACCGCCTGAACAGCTAATAACCTGATTAGTGGTAAAATAAAAAAAAATAAAAAATTGCAGTAACCAGGGTATGAACCTGATGCCTATGTTACATCATAATTTAACATCAAGAAACTAAAAATTTACAGTCGGAATGCCTTTTGGACCCAAGAAAATTCCTGCACGTGTATTGTCAAGGTATTCCAGTTTGCATTTTATCACAAAGGCTAGATGTTATCTCTTAATGCTGGAAACCTAAAGCTGATGATATAACAAGCTTCAATGAGAAACATGAGAAGAGAAATCCCCCTACCTTTGCCTCCGAGAGGAGGTAGAATTGTTGGATCACCCTAAATTTCATCATAATGTTTATTTTGAGGCAGAGTAATGGGAATACCGATCATGAATATACAAGGGTTCACTGTGTAAGTCAGATTTTTAAAGTCATTTTGGACACCAGGAAAATTTTATAAGCTCACCTTTCAACCCACTATTTCCAATAACATGTTAAATTTGATCCATCAAAGAAACAAAAGCCTTTTTTTTGGTATCTGCCCTTAAGGTCAGTTGGAGCCTCTGATCATGTAATAGTACTACAGTACGGTACAGTACCATGAAAAAGTATCAGACGTGTAGATCTCTAGATCACATAACAGGTACACTGTGTGTGGTTCTCAAGGTGATTTGAAATACAGTAGATGGAAACATACCAAATCATAGTGCAGGGCATGACCTAAGGGTTGGAGCCCTCAGGTAGAGGAGAATAATAGAGGCTTATTATGGATACACTAATTCAAATATATTCATAGTCCTTGTACAGCAATTTCTTTTCTATTACAGTCAGAAATATTTAGCTTCGATTTATGTAGATGACAACTGTTCATGAAAAATAGCAATATTACCTGTCTTTGATGTATTTTGAAAATCATAACTTTATCAATGCATTTTTTTTATCTCTGAAGCTCTTTAACTATACACTAGTAGTTTTGAAAAATCACAACTTGCTAATCATAGCCATTATTATTTCACTGTTCTTTTTTTTTAAATTCTGTACATTACATTATTTCTTTTTACATTGAGATCACCTGGATATTTCTAACTCTCAGATAAAACATCAAGATGCTGCGTTCCTTGTATGCATATAAAGGGACCCATGCCCGCACCCTGGGATTCCAAGTTGGAGAGAAGTTTCTTGAAATTGGGCCATCAAGAGACCCAAATTGGATGCATGTGATTAGTGAGCGAGGAGCAGTGGGCTATGTTCCCAAGAACTATATGGGTGATGAAGAGGTGAGTCGCTCATCATTCTTACTTATGTTGCAGCAGGTAGCAAATTATTACACCTAATTGAGACTTAAGCAGTTAGTGGTAAAATCTGAAAATCTGAAATTTTAAACTGTCAGGAAAGTTAATATTTTTAACAATATTGTTGGACAAATGCATCATACTAACTCCATATACAATAGTGTGCACATGTATGTACAGTATACAGTGTTTTGAATTTGTTATACTGTATGATAAAGAGGTAATTGTATCATCACTGTCTGGGAAATTACAGGTATGATTTTATTTTTCAGTGAAATTTATAAAAAAAAAATTAAAGTTAGATTGCCTTTTACCTTTACTCTTTTTCATCCAGTGACGTTTGAAGAACCCGATAATGTTTCCGTGCTCCTTATTCATGTTGATGTTTTCACTTCAATTTGTAGCATAACTCGGCTTACACAGAATCAGTGGGAGCTTTTATACAGATTTTCAGGTTAGATCATTGTGAGAACAGACCAATAGAAATAGGGGGATCAGCTGTGACATCAGTGAGCTGTAACATGCACCTGGGCTTTTTTAGCAGGTCAGGTCATTGTGGGAACAGGAAAGTCAGAGATTATCTCAGTTGTGACATCACAACATAGTGCCAGGTCAAGCATCCACATACATATACCCCTTCCTCGTGTCACCTCGCAAGTTGATAAACCTTGCTGGATAAACATGCATGGGGAGGTGGGGTCATGCACCACTTGACAAATTCCCGTCTGGATATTTTCCTGTCAAAATATTAAGTTGTCCGCTGGCTCCTGGTCCTGGCATGTCCAGGCTGTCAGGCACTGCAAACCTGCAGAGGCTTTTTGCCCCAATCAGGAGCTATGAGGCCCACTGGACTACCGTAGATGCTCAAATTTTTTACATCTTAGTGACCCCGGCAAAATTTCTGTAATTCATACTGTTCCGAGTGGGGTTTTAACACTATATGTCTCAACTTATCAGCTCGAAATACTGTAGTATTGTACCAGTATTTTAGGGTCTTAGGACCCCAGGTTCCTAAATGTCTTGATATATTTGTTCAATTTCTTGTAAGTTGATTGCAGCATGGTTTCATATATTGTACTGAGCTGTATACCTATTCTGATTTTATAATCACCTTTTTTAATCTTTTTATGACTGTATTCGAAAACTTATGATATGCAGTATTGTGGTACAGTTTAGCATATCCAGAAATCCTCCCTTCCCCCTTTTTGTTTTAATATTATTGTACTATATATCATTATCACTCATAAATCTTGTTGAATGTACCCGATTTAATTATATAATCTTATATTAATTACATGCTCACTTTTTTTTGCTGTGGCCAATCTGATGGGCTTTGTATATAATCTGCAGGCTCCTGCTATTGATTTGTTGGAGTTCATTGATGGATGTATTGAAGCCACACATTTGAATGCAAGTGAACGTGGTGGGAATTACACCAAGAGTGAACATGATGCTCTTCATAAGTTAGTAGAACTACGGCAACACTGGTATGCCAAGTGCCCACCATCAATACATCCTAACAAACGGCCTGCTCCACCTCCTCCACAAGTAAGTTTCTCATTTAGTCAAGAATCTCTACAGTATATGTTTCATCTACCATCCAGAGTTATAACCTGACTGATTATAGTACTGTACAGTACTATCATATTGTAGTGTAATGGCATGTATGTAAACAATTTCTTTCATGTTTCAGTGATGAGATTAACAAAAATTCATCTAGTATCATCTGGATATCAGTGTATTTGTCTACAGATATAAATATTGTTAGCAGAAAACCACCAGTTTTAAATTAAATTTTGTTGACTCCTGGTAAAATTGTCTAGGTAAGATGATCACATGATATTTCGTATGAGCAGTCAGTAACCCTATGTGAATTTTATGGAGGTAGTAGATCTTTGAAAATGTCATCTTTTATATTATGGAGTGAAAGTCACCTAGACTTAAAGCAATGGTTTTATATTGATTACAATTTGTAAAGGCTCTGTAAATATCCCAATTCTGTTTTTAATTAATTTCAATATAGCAAGTTAGTGGATTTAAGTTATAAAAGATCTTTCCCCACTTACGAACTCAGTTACTTGTAGCAGTTCTATATGGACTTGGACCTCCCTCCTCTTAGGCAGATTTTGATATCATGTTAAGCATGTTTTAGAATCTAACTATTAGAGAAGAAAGGGGAGACACCATTCAGTAATGTAAAAGATTGAAGTGATGCATGACTTAGGTATTAGGCAGCTATTAAGTAGCCTGGGAAGATATTGGAAGTATAATGTGTTGTCTAATAGTAGACCCTGCTGCCGTATGGCATCACAAAAGTTGTGACCAAGTCCCAGGTTACTGATCTGACTGACTTTCTGCCTCATTTATACACAATTTCAGGGTCTCAATTTTTTCTCTCACTTTGACAACACAACATAATTACACAGTTTATCGTTTCTCACTCTTGATCTGTTCATTTTTGTATTTATGTTTTTTTCCACCTCCCCAGTCCTCAATGTGGGTTGGTGACCGATGCCCAGGTGGGCTAATCCCTGTTAAAAAAGATGAGCTAGAGTCATTTTGTATAGTACTTAGATGCAACTGGTTTGATGCAAATGCAACCAATTCTTTCCCATTCTTTATTTGTTCCAGATTTGTTAAACCAAAGGTCTACAGTATATAGGCTTAAATGGCTAAGGTTATAAACATTATGCATCATATTGGAAAGTTTAGTCTAATAATCTTTGTTTTTTGTGGTTTGCAGATACTGTACACTTTCCTTGATAACTTTTGAATAAATTTGAAAGTAAAATAATTTATTGATAGTACAGGACAACATGTATACATATTGTAAATTATAAACCAAGATATTTTATGCTTTTATTACAAGCTAGGAAAAGAATATTGTGAAAGTGATTCTTATTTAAGTATTAGATTAAATTTAAGTCACCCAGTTAAGAGAAAGATTAATTCTCATGTCAAGTTTAAGGTGTCTGTGTCTTCCACTCAGCGTACAACATCGCAGCTAAGTGTTGACAGTCTTTCAAGCCAAACCAGTATCAGTAGCCTTCCATCACCCAGCCTTCCAGGAACACCACGATTACCCTCACTTTCAGCAAGTGTGTCTTCAGCTAGTTTAGGTCTCTCGGTCAAGGATGAATCGCAGACTGAGAATGTTGTAGAAACCACAACCAGTTTCATGAGTCGAGGAGAATCATTAGGTAACTTATCATTATTGTATGCTGTATATCAATTGTAAGTTAAGATTATTTACAATAATCTCTTTCTAAATCTCAGAAATTTGTTGGTTACTTAACAGAATACTGTATGTCTTCCAGTATGGTATACAGTACAGTACTGTATTAAAAAAATTACATTTCAGAATCATCAAAATGTTCCAAATTACGAGGAAATCCAACTGTAGGAAGACTTAATAGCGGAGGGATTAGTGTACTACAAATTACTGTACTGTACCATGGGTTTTGTTTAGCATAAGAGAACTCAATTTTCTTGTTTGTGGAGAAATTTGATGATGTTATGATTGATATATGAGGCGCATATGACCAGATTGGGCAGAGTGCTAGAAAAAAATAGAAACCTCTGGCGCTTCCTCTCTCTGATCTATCGTCTGCCTCCTTCACCGCTAGCCCCACATGTAGTGAAGTATGGGTAGTTTTACTTATTAACAAGATCAACCATATTGCCAGTCCATTCTGAGTAACAGAGTCTCTCTTGGGATACAGAGGTGTTCTCCCAATCCTTTTGTGAATAGATCTCAATTTTGACCATAGTGGCGTTTTGTCCACTCGTCGTACTCGCCTCATGTACAATAGAACCTCATTACTTCATCTCTTAAGCTCACCATCATGGTTCTCAATCAATATTTAATACAGTAGCCCTAGTTAAATTATACTTAACCCCAGTGCCCATTCCTTACCAATTTAAATATGGCACTTCAAGAAGGGTCAGCAGGTTTCAGTCAGGGTTATCAAATGTCTGATAATTTTAATTTTTAGTTTACTTTGTTGTTGGGGGAAGGAAGCCAGTGTCTTGTTTAATCCTCTTTGTTCTATTATTCTTGATTAATTCATCCTTCATGGGATAATTTGTCAGGATGTTTGGAATATTTATGGTCATACATATTAGCATACAGAGTCTTTGAGAGCTAATTTTCCACCCATTCAGTATTTATTAAATAAAAATATATCTTTATACTGTAAAGTATTTACTGTACAGTATTATTGTTCAGTACAAACACCATTAAAGATACTTATGATGTTTGAATAGTCTGTCCTGAACACATACAGTATTATCTTTATGGTGTCACTACTCAGTTTATGTAATAATCAGCAATTATGGATCCCCTTCAGCAGGAAGATAGTAATGGTTATATGTACTGTACATTACTCAGCTCGTGATGAGAGCAGTGGCAGCAGTGAGGGTCACGACACCAGTATTGGCTATGAATCAGAAATGAGAAGTGATGTGGACTCAGGGGTTCAGGCCAGTGTTAAGTATGTTTTATATTTCTATCTGTACAACTATGTTACATGTGCATACTTATCACACTGCAATGAAAGTCATGAAAGTCCAATCAGTAATGTTGTGAATTGTAAATCAATTACTAATACTCATATATGCAATTAGCAGATTGCTGCTGTCACAAGTACCAGATGATTACCTTCGAACTTTGGTAGAGGAGGTGCGAAGCAGTACCAGCATCAGTTATACAACCAGTCATCAGGTGTGTAAAATATTGTGTGTCTGATAACCACAGTTATAGAGCTTAATGAAGCTGATGTATACTGTATATGAAGGAAGGTACAAAATCTTTACATTAAACCCCTGGGCTTCGGGCTATGGTTTGCATCCTCTACACAGGTATATTCGGGAACATTTAAAACTCAAATAAAAAGCAGTTCTAGTCTTACAGACTGGCCATAAATTATGGAAACAGGAAATAAATACATGTCCTTACCACAGGTTGGCAACATGGGCTAGGAAGAGTCAAGAATGTTCGTGAAGTGGCATGTGTGTGACGCAATAGTAACGAGGTAAACCACTAATTTGTAGGCAGTATGAGGTACAGGACATTTGTTTTACTATGTTATTACTATTTACGCTCTTAACAATCATTATTACTACTACAGTAATTGATCACAATACTAGACATGTGCTTCGGGGTTGGGTTAGCAGTATCACTGAAAAGTCCTACAGACATACCTCATCCACTTGGAATGAGAGTCCCACAGACATCTGAGGTGTTTGATTTTTTATTCTGTTTCAAATATCCTGGAGTGGCCATGAGACATATTGTACCTCGGGTAAAAATCAATTAAAAGAGTAATTAAAAACAAAATCGTCAAGAAGAAAATAATTAGCTTGAAAGAATACAAAGCCCTTGGAGTGGACATAGCACAGACCAAGGTGATAAAGGAGGTGGCAAATGAGCTTCTCACTCCTCAAAGACTCCTATTCAGGAAATCTCTGGATCAATGAAAGGTACCTAGGGACTGGTCAGCCAATATCACCTCAATATACAAGAATGGTTGAAAAAGTGCAGCATAAAACTACAGACCAATCAGCCTAACATCCTCCCATACATACCGTATTTTGCGGTATACAGTATAGGATGCGCTTTTTTTCTTCAAAATTTTACCCTCAAAATCACCCTAATTCTAATACCCTATGGTGAAGGTCAGGATTGGGGTCCAGCTTGGGATCTCGGTATCCCCCTAGTTTAAGAATCCAAACAACTTCAGAATGAATATATATGGTATATTACAAGAATAATTCCATTTAACAGAGAACAATTAAAGCAATAATAAATAAACAAGGAATATTCAGTAAATGACTGAGATAATTCTTGAAACTACCGACAGTGGTCAGGCAAACCACTCGTTGTCATAGATGTTTACAGATTTCCCACCAATAACCAGTTATATTTCGTGTGCAAACATGTAACTGCCTTATAAAATAAAACAAACCTTCATTGAGACATGAAATGCTTCAATTACTGTACCGGCTAATGCTCAACAAACAAAGGATCAACAGTCTACCCACCTGGCAGCCATTTTTGTTTTGAATTTTGTTTTGGTAGTACCGACCAAGCACTGACAAACCATATGCGCAACTGCGCGGAGCAGCCTGCAGCCAACCGACTTCACCAGTCTGAACACAAACTTCTTCGGGGTAGCATAGTGCTTTTCCATGACTGTTCAACCAAAATACTGTACCCTAACAGAATGGAGTCGAAGAAAAGGCATAGCTACACTATCAGCTACAAATTACAAGTGATAACATATGCAAAAGAACATGGTAACCCAGCGGCTGCTAGACACTTTGGACCGCCTCCGACAGAGAAAATGGTACGGATGTGGGGAAAACAAGAGGACCAACTACAGTAGGCAGAAAAACGGAAGCATCACCTTCGGAAACCAAATGCTAAATGGCCTGAACTTGAGGAAGATCTGAAGACCTGGGTTATAGATAACAGTAATGAAGGTAGAGTGGTGTCAACTAAAGCCATAATTGTTCAAGCTAAAGCTATGGCAGCTGCGATAGGCTATGATGATTTTAGTGGTTGTGCAAGCTGATGTTTCCATTTCATGAAAAGAAACGGATTGGCTATGCGCACGAAAACAAGGATAGCCCCCAAAATGCCAGCCGAATATGAAAACAAGATTTTGGAGTTTCACCAATTTGTGATACAAGCAAGAAAACGCACCCACTACGAACTCTGTCATATTGCAAATATGGATGAAGTTCCTTTGACCCTTGATGTTCGCTCGAACAGGACTGTAGGTGCTAAAGGTATCAAAACAGTAAGTATTAAAACAACAGGACAGGAAAAAACACATTACACTTTAGTTTTGGCTTGTTGTGCAGATGGCACGAAACTAGCACCACTTTTAATATTCAAAAGAAAAACAGTGCCAAAGGACAGTATTCCATCAGGAATTGTTATTCACGTCCACCCTAAGGGGTGGATGGATGAAAATGGCCTAAAGTTATGGCTTGCTAAAGTAAGGTCACGGCATCCTGGTGCTTTACGCAAAACAGCACCCCTTCTTGTTTGGGACCAATTTCGTGTGCACACATCTGAGAATACAAAAAGAAGGGTAAAGAACTTAAACACAGAAATAGCTGTAATACCTGGTGGACTGACCTCCCAATTACAACCCCTTGATGTTTCAATAAACAAGCCTTTTAAGGAACACATGAGAGAGGAGTGGAATAACTGGATGAAGGCCCCACAACATGAACTGACGCAAACAGGCCATATGAAGAGGCTTACGTTTTCCCAGATAGCCCAATGGGTGAAAAACTCGTGGAATGCTGTGAAAACCGAGACGATTATAAAATCTTTCAAAAAATGTTGTATCAGCAATGCCCTAGATGGCACCCAAGATTATTTTCTATATAACAATAGCAACACATCTGATTGTGAGGATGCCATCATCCAACACCTGGTTTCATGTAAAGGAAGCCCTGCTTAACAAACTAAATCACTTCCTTGAAACACTAACAAACTACGTGGACCAAGGTTTGCCTGTGGATATATTGTACAATCAACAAAATGACTACAGTAATGTCACGATTTCCAGAAACTCAGTCACAAAGTGGTATGTGGCAACTGCCAGACTATTTATTTTGCTTTTATTTTTTGAGGTGGAACACAATTTTATAAAATAGTAACATAAATTAATTAATACATGCTATAGCAGTTTTTTGTGAAAAAATTGGAAGAACAAAATCATGTACAGTAGTTAAAGTTTTAGTTTCTTTAGAAGTGAAATAATATGACATTCAATTTTGTCGCTAAGGGACATTAAGGAATACAGTACACTAATTTGCAGAGTTAGAATTAGACTTCAAATTGAAAAGATATACATTACTTATGTTAAGCTGAAATGAATATCAAATAGGAATATATGAACTGAAATAACATTCAAGCTCACCACATATATGCCATGTCTTTAATGAATACAGCATGTAAAAAAATATTTTCCATAGTCACCACCTCGATGGACGATGACCTAAGGTGGGAAACATTCACAAACCAAAATTAATGTTTCTTGATTCCTTTTCCCCTTAGTAATTATAAAAAAAAATATTTTAATTTATACTCTGAAGGTATTGTATTATTTTGCACCCAAGAATAAAAAAAAAAGTAAAGATTTCCATTGAACAGTCATTCGTTAGAGATGACAAAAAGTAAATCTTGGTTGAAAACAACTTCTAAATAAGGAAATAAGGCAAAGCTATATGCAGAATATTCTACACCTGGAAGTTTTGTTGCTGTATCATCTCAGACTGACTTGTCTTTAATTTCCTGCATGTATCTTATTTGTCTTTCAAGCATGGGATTAAGATATAGCTCTTAATTTTACTACCCATCTTGAAGCCGAATGCCACAAAATCATTAGGTAGCAAGAAATTTGGCTCAGGAGTTCGTTAATCCGCAGCTGGTCATTAACGTTCAAGTACGTGATCGCCGATGTTGCTATCTCTGGTCATTCACGTACTAGAACGTTTTCTAAATATACTTTTCCTGTGTCTTTGAAACTGAGTCTAGCTACCATAATATTTTGGCTAGTGGTGTCTGGCATCTTGTGTAAACATTTCCTGCCACTCTGCTTTCAACATTAGTTATGCATCATATTTGGGTATGCACAGATTTAATATAAAACAGTGGATGATGCAGATGAAATAGATGTGAAACAATTGACATTTAATGAAAATTTCTTACTATATTTGTTAACGACGTACAGTATACAGTACAGTATATGAAATGATGTATACCGGCACTACAACATATAGGGAGCAACCCGCTGTACACCAAAACAATTACAAAAGTGCCATAAAAGTTGAATGTTTGGGGAGACTTTCACTCCAACCCTGATATGATGTTGCCAAATCTCCACCCTCCCATACACCACCTCCTCCTTGCTAGGTTCTTTTTGTCCCCAACTGTATATTGTACAGTAAGCATAGCCTTTGGTAAATATTTCCCATTGACCATCCTACTGCATATGCATTCAGTTTTACATAGAGGCAAAGTGTTTGATGAAGGCCAGTATTCTACGTTGTTACAGTCTATGTAATTGTTGAAATTTATTTTGTCTCAGACTTGGGGTTTTATACAGTATTTACTTTGCCAGACAAAAATGTTCAGGTTCACCTCTGAATCAAATAGCATTTATGATTACATATTTTGCTCACGAAAATATTATTTTAGTTAAGATTTGAACCTTCCATGAAATGCAAAGTTTACACCTCAACTAGGAAGTTATTTTCAATAATGTTAAAACTTAACATAAAACTTAATTGTAATTACCAGCTTACCACAAAGGCATAGTATGGAGAATGCTCCAGAGTGAGTGTGTCTCCAAACATATTTTATTAAAAGGGTTAAGATAAGTACTTAGTCACATGTTAAAGAATTCTGCGTGGTAGCCGTCAAAATAATGAAACGTAGCCTTTTGAAGGTCATCTGTTTCAGGGAAACTAGACAATGACAATGTCGAATATAATGTACCATAGTTTCATTCTTCAAAGATCATGGTCTTTAATATGAATACCAGAAGTTTTGTCAAAATGATGTTGCATTCCACCTTTTCAGTTAGTTACTTTTATATCATTTACATGTGATTTATTTTTATCTTAAACTACTCAGAATGTATCTTAACCTCTGGGATTAATTTATAATAGCCAAGAGTGATGTAAGCTTTTACTAGTATTTTTTCTTGAATTAGGGACATTCCTATGAAGATCGCATAATGATGGGTGAGCCTGCAGCTGTGAAGCACTCACCACTTGGCTTATTGACCAGCACTAGGGTAAAAGAGTGGCATTCTAATAAAATTGTGCAATTTTTGTGTTACTAATCCTTGTATTACTTAACATTATTTTACACAAACGTCTTAAATAGTCCTTCCAGCCTAATACAATTCCATTATATAAGGATCATTGATTATCCCTTTTTAAATGACAGTGTGGTATTTAATTGTATGTACGTAGTTACACTTAGACTAACTGATTTTAATGTAACAGCAAGGTATATATTTTTAACTCTATTTTCTTTTAGCATCTACTATATCTTTTATAATTTCTCTATTATTTGTTTGTTCCAGTCAGCACTCAAAATAAAATTATGAGTGTTATTTATATTGCCTTTGTTTGCTGTTCCTATTTTGTAAGTAAACAGAAATAAATACAGTATTAATAAGTTCCTAGATTCAGACAAGTCATTTCTTAATTCGTACTTACTTAGACTATGTATGTGATAAAAATCACAGAAGAATTGCATTTTATTAACACACTTTATGATGTTTGGCAACATGTGTTTACCAACATCTGTACTGTACTTTGGGTAATAATGCCTTGCTTTGCAGGTTGTAGAAGTTGTCCTCAACTCTCTTGGTACTGCTTTACCAGTACTCCAACCTCTTTGCTCTCACATTCTGTTCAGTAAAGGAGGTAAGTACCACAAATTATTTTGGAATTGGCATACAATATTTTTTCTTATTTTCGAACATTTTCTTGTTTAATTTAGGATGTCCAGAAACAAATGCATATACTGTACGCATACTGATAGCTTCTTTAATTCATACTGATGTAAAAGATGTACTGTATGTACAGTTGACTACAGTTCCACCTGTTACAGTGGTTGGTGCATTTTGTGAGATATGGCAGTCCTGTGATTATTATATCATAGTAAAACTCTCAGAATGGCCCTAAGGAACATCACAATAATAGCCAGACTAAGGATGTTAAATAAGTATTTCCCCTCTATCTCTGAATAGAAGCATTTATTGCATTGGTTTCTATCTGCTATATATGTCAGTGTTATACAATAAGGACACTGGATTGTAATACAGTACAGTAATGAATTAGTATTGGTTCTTTTATCATTATATTCATTCTAATTTGTTGTTGTACAAATAATTGTGGATTTGGTTAGTTGTGGTAAAGGAATTCTTTAGTTGCATCTGTTTTTGTTGTACACCGATGCTGTTTTGTTTTGGTGGTCACGAGCTTTTCACTCGAGGACAAAGGATAGTCAGTTACCACGCAGCCAACCTTTTGACAAGTACTGTACAACCTTCTCCGACCGGAAACATCTCAACCTTCATTATTGCTAAACATCAGTGGAACACCTTTAATTTAATTTAATGAGTATGCAGTACTTCTGTTGCACCCTATACATTATACCATATTCGATCTATCTTGGTTAATATTTTGAAACTGTTTACTTAATTCAACATAGCATTGAAGATGTACGTTTATTAATTGTAACCGGATACAGTACAGATATTCTTATATGATCGGTATGTTTATTACAATTCACTAAAGTTATTCATTACCAAGTTGGTATTCTTAAAATTGGTCATATTTCATAGTTTTAATAAATCCATAAAGTCAAATACTAATTCTTTATCTTTTCCAGAATTTGTTTACATACAATATATTTGTTAACAAAATTTGATCTGCACTGCCTCCTCCTTTTTTATGCCCCACATTGTCTTCCCCATAATCCATTCTCAGTTTTTGCTACACTTCTCTGAGTACTGACTCTATCATACACTTTTCATGTTATGCTCAATAAACTTGTTTCTTTCTAAGTTTTACGTTAATTCTCATCACCTTTCATTTTATGCAGGGTAAAGTGGACTGACTCTAACACGAGGGTCTGTGATTTTCATTCTCACAAGCAAGTACATCCAATCAAATAAGTATTGAGACCCCAGGGTACAGTGGAACAGAAAACGAGCAATAACCTCAGACACGTTCATTTATCTGTTGGGTTGGGCTAATGTTTGCCTGATGTTTTGTATTCTTTCAGATACCTGGGGCTCAATACTTTTTGGATTGACTGTACCTTAGGTAATTTTTTCTGCACTTTCTTCCTCCAATAGTTATTAATAAACATATGTACAGTATTGTATAAAGAATTAATGTATTGTATTGGGTAGACGCAATTCTTCTAATACTCTGGGCAAATAATGGCATAACTGCCAAAATCATTAGCTCCTTTATTTCAGATATAAAATGAATTGGAACATCTATTACTACAAGCTGTTCAAGAAAATTTTTCCACTCTATTCATGTGTGACTTATAAACAATTAGGCCACACATACTACTAACCAGAGTACTGTCGTGTGGAGCAGCAGTTACTGGAATTAAGATGGTGATTCCAAATTATGGTTGATTTTTTTTTTTATTATTGATCATCATCAAAAGGCCATGATTTTTCTATATAATAAGTGTATACATCATTTAGCTTTTCAGATAAAAGAATTTTACTGTATTCTGTTATGCATAACAGATGTTAAGGATGGAGAAGGTGACAAGTGGCAACAGAGCTCAGATGGGCGTCACTTGGTTGAACTGCTAGAGAAACTACGAGAGTGTAAGGATGATGAGCAACAGCGCTCCTGGGCACTGCATGAAGACGAACACACCATCTCCACTCACCTGTCTGATCTCTTGGATCTACTTGTAAGATTATTTTTTTTATCTCATAACCAAAAATAATGGTGCTATTTTTCTCCCTTGATCTTGTACAGGTATCCCTCTCTTTACAAATGGGTTAAGTTCCTCGACACCCATTTCTTAGGTAAATTTTCATATCCCGAATAACATAACATTTGGGGAAAATAGGGCTTGGTTCCCCTGTGACAAGAAAACCCCAATATTATACCCCAAAAACATGAAATCGGTTCACAAACAGCAAAAACCTACCTTACATATCAACACTCTCGGAATCGCCTGAACTTTATTTAATGGGCTTGTCACTCGCTCAGTTTAGAGTCCGCAGAATGACCAGAAATCACAGAGATTTTTTTCCCCGAGCGCTATTTGTAGCTAAGATATTGTCAAATATTTATTCAAATGATGCCTTCCTATGTTAAAAAAAAAAAAAAGTTGAGAAATCACATAAAAACCCTCAAAAATAAAAAATAAAATAAATAAAAGCCATTTTGGCAAATGTAAGTGAAAAGTGAATTTACTGTTGATTACTCTTCGTGCTGTAACCACATTATTGCATCAGTCAGTCTAAAATGCACATGGCAAGAAAGAATAAATCACGAGGAAGACGATGGTGTAATCTGAAAAAGAAAGATAATCTAAAAAGTAACAGAAATACAGAATAAAAAGTAAAAATAACTGGTGGTTCGGCACAAAGTTGCCAAAATGTTTATACACATTTTTTATCCTTTCTAGTTTTTTGTCCAAATCTATTGAAAGTATTTTTTTATGACGGATTATTACTGTACATAACTCTCACCAATATGTCAAGGGTTCGAGCCTCGACCTGGACACACACAGGTTTCCCGGTGCTCGTTTTTTTCCTGTACTAACACTGGATAACCCGCCCAAATGGCTAGTAAGCTGATAAGTGGTGAATATGAAAAAAAAAAAAGTTAAGAATTTTCTGGGACGAAAACTGAAAATTTGGTAATAATATTTCCACTTACCACTTAGACGAGATAGGCCTTGGCATATACACGACAATGGCGATGCTGTTATGAATATATATCTAATAAACACAATACTGTATATTATTACAATACACCATACCCATATGCATGCCTTTACTGCACTACATTTTACTATCACTTATTATTTTTCCAAGCTAGGCCTATATATTATGACGTGCTTTTGTGTGGTATATGCAGCTGTATTGTGAGTAGCAGTCACCAATGTCTCAAAAATTAAAAAATATTTCACTCCTTCATTATAAATATTTCAATACATATCACTATCATCTCATAAAGATAAATATCCAGGTTCTAAGAGATAAATATCTTGAGATAGCGGCATAAATGCCACGGTGGCATAGATGGGTTGCCACCTAGCCTTAAGACTTGGTTCTGTGCAAGAGAGTGGCATGACAAAAATGGTGTTCAAATTTGTAAGTACGTAATTCGACCAGAAATTTTAGAGAAAATGAAAAAGAAATGCCATTGTGGTGTGTTTGATCGCGAGGTAAAATTTTCATTTACACTAAATCAAAATGTGTGTATGATCCCAAGAGTTTTAAAAACATTAATAAAATACTATCTAGATGAAAATGTGCAGCTAAGACCATTAAGGAAAAGCTAAATAAAATTTTAACACAGCCACTATTTGCATAAATACTGGATGTGTCACGCATGGCCGCCCTCAAGCCTTGCCATAGCAATGCAGCCCGGCTACCTCTACCGACCTTTAGCAATGCTACCCCTCCCACTCTCACATACAAAGAAATTTTTATTCCCTGTATGATTTTGAAGTTGTGAGTTTTTGCTAGGACCCAAATTCGTGTAAGTGGGGGGAAGCTTTCGTAACACGAAAAAGAGGTGGTGATTTAGGAAATTCGTATAAGTGAATTTTTGTATCTCGAACATTTGTATAGCGAGGGTTACCTGTACTGTAAATAAGTACATTGAAATGTACAGAAAAAGACAAATTAAATACTTTGTTCATATAGTCAGGGATACGGGGATAATAACAGAAATATTAATGGACAAATTTGAGGGTAGGAGGGACAGGGGAGGGCAGAGACTGGGGTGAATGAATGAAATATAAAATGGGTCCCCAAAGAGATACAAAACCTTGGAGGTTTGGTAAAAGCAGCTTGAAAACATTTAGAGTGGAGGACTGTGGTTGCCAACCCTCAGTTATGAGGACGGTACTCTGATTTGAATGTATTTATGGTGATTTGTTAAATTATTATGCCTCATGTATTTAGTTTAGCTGGTGTTGACTGCACAAGGTGTGAAAATCAGCCCCCAGGAATATACTCTTCATGTAATAATGTTGTAGCATCTTTGTGGTGTAGATTAATACAGGTATAATCTTTTCCTTTTCTATTTTTATTTTCTTTCTATTCTTATTTTTTTGCCCCCTAGGCCCCATTGTAACCTGTGCCCGGGTGGGCTAATCCCTGTAAAAAAAAAATATTATAGGAAAATCACTTTAACTATAAAATATTTTGCTCTGTGCACAACCTCCTTGGAATACATCCCCTTTGTGTAGTGTGGATTGCCTGTAGTACATTTAAGACTCATTAAAAAAAATTGCCTCCAAATTTATAAAAGAAAATTATTTACAGTATATGTAATACCAGAATTTGTTGCAGATGATGAGTAATGGAGATTATAAGTAAACTTTTAAGTAGAATCCAATTTGATAATATTGTCAAATAAAAAAAAAATTATTATCGAAAAGAGCACATTGGCAACTGCAGTACAATCTCCTATAGGCATTCCATATCTTGCTCTGCTCTTTTCATTCCTAAATTCTAACTCCCTCTTGTCCATCTTGTACATCTTTGAATCTGTTTTGCTCTTTTCTTCCTGTGTTTAATTGTAAACTACATTACCGGTAAAAGTATGATAACTAATACGACTCCAAGAAAACTTTTAGAAGAAAGTTATATGATTTGTAAACTATTCCAGAATAATGGTGATTTAATAGTATGCCGCAGTGTGTTGTCTCTGGATGATTTTCGTCCCCTGTTGACACTAGTGCAGTATTACCAAATGGAGACACGCTGGCCATTACGGAAACTTCTGTTACAGGTAGAATGTCATTTTTCCTTTGAGATACAGTACTTCATTTTTTTGTAATACTTCATAATTATTTAGTTTTATTCAAATAATACAGACACTCCCGGGGTTATGGATGACTCCGATTATAACTTATGGATACTCTCCCTTAAGTCCATTTTCGGGTTGAAAGCAAGTATCCATTGGTATTGGCATCAAGCAGTGTGGCATAGTGTGGAAGAGATCCGCAGAGTAGGCATAAGGCGGCTGGGCGAGGCATCCAGTAGGTGCCATTTTGCACTCGGTCATCTTGTTAGATTGCTACAGGGTGCATCCCCTATGTACCATTTCCTAATTTGCTTTTGTAAATTGCCCTTAATTGTGTTACAGAATGATTGGAAAGCTTCCATGTGATAGTAAGAGTGCAGGAGCTGCCCGTAAATGTAAAGCAATAGATTTAGAAGAGAAAATCAAAGTAATTAAGCTGTGTGAAGGAGGAAAATTTAACGCCACACTCTCACGTGAACTCAGTATCGCTACCCCAACCATGCACACGACTGTGAAGGGCAGGACTCATATAAAAGATCTTGTGAAAGATTTGGTGCCTTTAAAATCTATTGTGATAACAAAGCAGTGATCACTTATTATTCGTGAGATAGTAAACTTACTTACAGTGTGGATGAGCGAATCATCACTAGGATACAGTACAGTATAAGGTAAATGAAATTACTATAAATATGCTAGTTTTGTAGTTACATACTGAATTGTATTTGTGGACAGTACGGGTACTTAACTTTTTTTTCTATGCTACTATTGCTACCGTACTTGTTAATAAATAAAACAGTATTTTATTGTGTTGGTATAGTAATTATATATTCATTACATAATGAGTACTATTTGTATTCAATGATTACCTATGGAAGGGTCATTTCCGGTTTACAGATAATTTGGTTTACGGATAGCCTGGAGGAACGTAACCCATCCGTAACCCGTGGAGTGTCTGTATAGTACAGTACCTGGAATTCATTTATTTCACTAAGAGTTCTCAAATTAATCTATCTAGTTTCATTAATGATACGGTATATTTTGCAGTTGATAGTAGGCATATATCTTTTCTTTTCTTCTTCATATATTCTACTGCACATCAAAATTCCAGTAACAATACTGTACTAGGGATATACTACATTTTCATATTTTTTATAGGTGTTTGGTGCTGTTTGCCAGATGTCAGCAGCAAATATATCTTATCTCTCAGCCTCAGTGTTTCCAGTTGAACTTGCAAGGTAAGGATTGTTGTATAAAACTTTGTTGGGCAAAATCCATGGAAAGTGGCTGGTTATAAAAAAGGAAATTCTGAATAGGCAAGAGATGGAAAGAAATCAACCTTTTCAGTCTTTCAAAGCCCCTTTTGGAGATGTGGTGTAGCAGATAGAATACTGTATCAGACAACACACACAGGCTTAAACAGATTATTGGAGCATTGACAATAGCGAGCAGAAATATTTGTTTAAGACCATGAAGAATAATGGCAGTTGTGGCCAAAAACTATATAATATTATGCAAAAGAGACACAAAAAGTTATGTAAATGTTGTCAGTGTAAGGAGTGTGGTTAATCAGCATAAGAAAAGGTTTGGTATTGAGATACCATTAATAGAATACAAAAAAAATGTATGCGACTTGAACATGAACAGAAGGGAATTTTGTGGTTATGATGTTGAATAGTTTGTTTTGGGGAGGGTGAGTGGAGGTACCATATATACAGTACTGACATTAAATTTTTATGCATAAAGCAGAGGGGGGCAAACTATATATGCATGATATTGTTGAGGGGTTAAACTTCATGCATTTCCATGGGTAATTTACAGAACGATAGCTACCTGGTACAGTACATGCTTGCAGTAGGTTAGCCTATGCAGTAAGCTTCATTATCCTGGGCTTGCCTACCTTACCACTAGATTATTTCTTTATGTTGCTACAAGAAGAACAAAACCTCATTCAATTTATATGCCACTTTGAATCTACAAAACCTGATACAAATGAAGATTTACGGTTAATTTCCTTTTCGTTATGCATTTGATTACATCTCTGGTGGTATTATTGCCAAGTCAGATTCGTGACTGTAGCCACATCCCCCAAACCCTCTTGCTACCAGGCTGAACTGTGAGCTGTGTTGTGGTTATTTTTCAACTCATAATTTTAGGTAGATATACATAATTTTCCCCTTTTTTTTTTTTTTACATATGTGTTGAACTTATCGCAAACTGTTCACAATCTAGCATTATGAGCAAGTCCATTCTAAAGATGGAGGAATAAACTGCTCACTCACGGGCCCAAGAGGAGGAAAGAGGCCAAGGAATTGCTGGCTGCCGGCAATTTCAAATGCCCGCTTGCGGTGAGAATTTTAAACGACAAATATTTAAGGGTTTCAAAAAAAATTTATAGCTAGAACTATCCGAAATCTGGACTTACGGGGTCCAGACTTTTGAGGGTTTACCGTACTGTCGTCAAGAAGATTATCCCTAATCCCCACCCTTCCTCAACTCAGGAGACAGGTCATGTGACTTGATTCCTTTGTTCTATTAATTTTAATATACTGTACTGCAAATTTATCCACACATAGCTGTTAAGTATACCCAGTTCTGGTTCACTTTAATGTCAAAGTTAATGTATTTATAGATATAAATGCTTCAAAACATTAACTTTCAAGATATTAGTGGGAAAGTGTTTGAAATAAAGAATATTATCGTTAAACTCACAAACAAATTCATGCTTTTAGAGAACACCTTTACCACTACTTCTTCTCTTGTATTAATTATTTTGTGTATGAAGACAAATGATGCCAAACATATAAAATGGTAGTTAGAGACTTATATTAGATCGAAAGAAAGATTTTGGAAATGTCAACTTGAGAGAGAGATTCATATTGAAAGTATAGTATACTGATGTGGAATAATGCTGCTTCTTGAAATGATGGATGAGCTGTTTGTTATATCAGAAACATATGAAGTAATATAAATTTGTTAGATTTTTTGTAATATAGTATTTTAGTTCTTTGTATCAATGAAATTATGTGATGTTGTACTGTAGTAATCTTTTACTTCATTTATTGATTTTTATCTTTCACTTCTCTGATTCCATTTGTGTTTGGTGCCTCACAGAGAGATGCTTGACCCTACATGCAGTGAGGAACGGTTGCAGTACACGTCATTGGTACTGGGGATGGTCATGTGCATGGGTGACACAATACCTTATCCACATTTCTGTAAGTTCATGTTAGTAATACTGTACTGGTATAAGTGTAATAAAACTCATTTGTATTTGTTGGTACCTTTTAAGGACAAACTTTAAGTATTTGATGTCCTAGGAATTGTTCTATATTTTAATTTTATACTGTACTGTATCTGTGTGTATTATATGTATTCCTCTCCCTTTTGTTTGATGTGGATTAAGATATAATTTTTTTTTAAATGAATTGTGAAAATACAGTATTAGGGAGAATGGTATGGCACAAGTGTGGAAAGAAACAAGATAGGGATAAAATGCAAGTGCAAAACCTGTGTACTTTCTTAGATCTTCACCTTGCATATTCACTAGACAAATTGAGTAAATTTCTGCATATATTTAAAAATATTAAAGAATATATTTTTACAGTAGATAATGATATTGTATTCACTGGATGACAAAAGTTTGTTGGGAAGTCTTAATGACAATAAAGTAATGTATCGCATTAAAGGACATGAATGTTTTGATCAGTAGTAATGTTTGTTGTACAGTACTTTATTTGGTTATGTTGCTTGGGGGTGTAAGCCTATGTGTGTACCCACAAGAACTTGAGGAGTGTACCTAAAAAAAATTAACATTATTTATGAGCTCTAGTTCAGTTTGCAGATCTTTAATTAATCAAATTATAAAAAGCTCTGTGAGTACATTTATTTTTAAGAGGATCATAATTTCTACCCATGAGGGTACCAGTTCCCCAGTACAGGATGGAAAATTTCATTGCCTTGGCTGTGACACTGCTCCATTCACACCTCATATGCCCATATCAGATTTTTTGGGGTAATATATTTATTTTACCCAAATTTTAGATAAATTATTCATGATTATTTTGGTAAAAATATTGTGTTTCTAACTTAAGTAGAACTGCTTTTATCAATTCCGCAATCAACATTTCTTACTTTTTTTTTATAAAAGAATTGTCCTCCCATCATTATATTTGTTCCGGCTAATGGGGATATCACCGAACACTACTTTTATTTAAGTAGCATTTGTCAGTACTTTGTGCACCACTGATTGAGAGAGTACAGTATATGACAAAATGGTTATATTTTTATGAGTTCAGTATATAAATGATAATTAAGGTCCTTTTTGAAGACTGGCATACAACTTAAGATGACAATACTGTATACTGTACAGTACTTTGGTATGTGTTGATAAAAAATCTCGTGTGTTTTCTCTTACTTAGGTGTAATGAATGATAAGTTTATTGGCATGTTACTGGATGGAATAGAGAATTTCAACGAAGACCCTGACACGGAGCAGCTGGCTGAGCTGTACTTAACTCTAGTTTTAGCCTTCAACTTACAATATGCTACTCTATTGCCAACTGCCCATTCTCAGCAAAAACCATCTGATACTTCTGTGGATGCAAGTCAAGTTGTTGAAACTAATCATGTTGGTGCAGTAGACAGCAGTGCAACAGATAAGATGGACAATGTTAGTACAAGTGGAGCAGACATGGAAAATGTGGTTATCAAACTTTTATCACAAAGAAAAAGTACTAAATATTTTACAGAAAAGCTTTTACTTCTATTTAATCGAGAAGGTAAGTTTAAGATACTTTTTTTAAGGGAGACAAATATCAGATGACTTATAAGTTTTTAAGACATAAGGAATAGATAAGCTGCCCCTGTGCACCCATGAAAACACCACTGTTGGGGAACTATAGGATTTACAAAATGGAGAAATTCTTTCTTCAGGCCTTTTTGCTCCTACTGATGATTAGTTTATTGATGTCCATAACTTGTTACTATACTGTACAGTACACTCCTATAGGCAGTACACTAAAACCTCCATAATTCATAAATCCACAGTTTTCGTAATTTGACAAATTCATTGTACGTCAGGGATGTGTTCCAGAGAAATGCAACATAGTGAAACATTTTATAATAAGGAATTTCTCCCCATAAGAATTAATGTAATTAGACGTATATATGCATTCCAACATGTACCGTAATACCCTTGAAAGCTCAGGATGTGTTCCTAGAGAAAGAGAGCTTTCTGCAAATCAGCTTATAACAGGGTTATTATAACATACTGTACAGTATTACACTGTACTCTTTTGTATTTGATATGGAGCTACATTCCTAACAACATTATTTGATACCTTTGAGTGATACGTGATTGCCTAATTTTGTTACTTGTACAGTAAGATAACTGATTATTTAATAAATGCTGAAGAGAGAAGTTGTGGTAAGCACGATGACATGGTGATGGACAGTGCGGGCAATCAGTTCTGTGTTATGTAAACAATGCTGCTGGGAATTTAATATGACACAACAGCTCATCTATGGTTGAGTGGCTTTTTTATTTTTTTCTACTTCATTTCTGTACATTCAAACCCTCCATTGTATAAGAACTGAATAAGAATTTCAAAACTTTGTCTATTTGATGTTGAAACACTTGTGTGATTTATATGTCTGTAGTGAGGTATACAGTAGTCTGCCGAGCCATGGTGTGTTATGAGAGGTGACCGACGTATTTTGACGTGGTAGAATCTTAACACTTGTAGGGCACTTTTATTACTTATTAAAGTTAATTTTATATTATATTAGATGGTTTAACACTATTTGTGCATCATATTCGGATACACACAGACTTGATATAAAACAGTGGATGAGGCAAACAATGTATATGTGAAACAAATGATATATAATGAAAATGGTAAAACTAGGGTGCAGTATTCCACTTTACCCATGATGGTACTGATAAAATCTTATTTCAATTTCCAAAGATGATCCACTTGCCATGTTTGATCATGAGCCACGTCCCCCAAACTCTGTGCTGAAGATGATGCGGGACATGTACTCCACTCAAGCCACTGCTTCTATCTTTTACACAAATGATGAAAGAGTTGCGTGTGATATAATAATTCGTCAACTGACAGACCTTCCAGCAGATGACACGGTAAGAAATGCATTATTTTATACATGATTTTGCTCTGATTATTATCCTTCATTTAAGAGTTAATGATACAGTATATGTACAGTGTAGTACTTATTTTCTTCTTTATTATCTCATTCATTAGTACTCTAGTTTTTCTCAAAATTCTCAATAAAAACTTCATTCTCAAATATTCTCAGCGCTTCATTCATTATCATTACTTTATATTTTTTCAGTGTTTCATTACTTTAATATACTCCTATGTGTCAACTTCTTTCTTTTTGGGGGCCTTTTCTTTAACTTATTAATTTACTGTTTTTACTTTATATATTAATTACTTCACACATATGCTGTAACATTATTCCAGCTGCTTTTCTGCTATTTTACTTTTTATTTTACCGTGTCACTAGATATTTTCGGACTCAAAATAACTCTGATCTCTACTTAGTCTTTAGTGCATATTGGTGGAGCATTAGAGGGAGGACTGTGACGAAGAGAGGGGGAGATAAGGTACAAGGGTTGACCACAATTGACTTCAAAGTGTTAAGGGAAGGGGGAGGTTATGGATGGGGAGAAGAAGAGCTAGTTTGGGTGGAAATGGTTGAGAGAGGATTAGGTTTACAACACATATTGATTGGTAGATACAAGGTTAAGTGAATATAGAGACTCCATTACTGGTCACTGGTGACTTTGGCATACTAAACACTGACACACAATATATGGGGAAAAAGTTATAAGATAAAATTGCACACACATTGGAAGGAGACATACAAGAATTGTTATACCGTACAGTTGGCCCTTAACATACGCGGGGGTTAGGTAACAGAGAACCCATGAATGTTAAAAATCCGTGTACTTTTGCTGCCCTTCCCCTAAAAAACCCCTGGCCCCCCCCATGTCCTTATTTACCGTATATACCTGTGTGTAATTCGAGTTTTTAAGACCAAATTATTTGGCAAAAAATTGGGGGTCGACCTCTAAACGGGTAATAGTTTCGTTAGGTTGAAAAATTTTTACCAGTAACTACCAGTAAACAATGGAAACGACGCACCACCAGCTGTGAGTGTCGGTACAGTTGCCAGGGCAGATCTCTTGCATCATCATAGCAAGCCCAAAGTAGCCAAATGCATGGTATGGTAGCACAGGACGATGTAAAACATAAAGTATTCATTTTTTAAAGTTTATTTATAGATACATAATTTTTTTTTTCATTACATTTGAAACATCAATCTATGTTAATTAAATTTGAAACAAAAGAAAACTACGATAACGTATTTCTAAATACCGGGTATTTTCATTAAAATATTACACCACAAGTATATTTTACCTTGACTGTGACTGAATGAATATATTCTCAGAAATAAATATGGAAATGTAATATTTTTGCTGAAATGACGTACGTATTATAGTGGAAAATGGGATACAATCATGACGAAAACAATGACTTTCGCTTTCTTTCGTTGTTCAAAAGATTTTACTGTGATCGCTTTTCGAATGGTTTTCAGTTAAAAAACTGTTGTATTACAATAATATTCTATCCTATTCATTTGAATAAATACTACGATACCATATTTCTGAAGATTTTCATGAAAATCCATCAAAATAATTTTCCTTGTCATCATCTTCAGCACACACTTGCCAGTTTCAAGATTTTCCGTTTAAAATTTTAAGTTACTGAGTATTTCTTTTCCCAAATCGTTTTACAATATTGTAGGTAAAACAGTTTACTATTGTGCAAACCCCACAGAAAAAAAAATTAACAAATGGAGACACCAAAAATGTAAAAATAAAAAATGCTGTGTCTAACTTGCAACACTGTTGGTAGGGTCAGGTGGTTCTAACGGCATCCTGCCAGTACCCGGTAATCAAATTTATAACAGTGTCTAACCTCAATTACTGTAGTTTATCTGATGTAGGCAATATGAAGTAAAAAATACCAGTTAAAGTGAGAAATTGGAAGAGAATAAACAAGAAAGATGTTGTTGGGCTATTTTTGGTAGGGCTGAAGGAGACAGTACCAGCTGCTTGGTCTTTTTTGGCGGGAGAGTCATGCAAATATCCGTACTGGTATTTGTTTGGTGTCTTGTAAATTAAAAAGTACCGTAACATTGTATTACAGTCAGCCCTTAACATACGCGGGTTTAGCATACACGGATTTGCAAATCTGGCGGATTGCCCGCCGGAGGAATATTCTGTACATTGAAGTAATTGAAAGTACATTAAATTTCCGTCGCGCACCATATTCAGCCAGCGACACCAGACACAGGACTGTCGCTCGCAACCTCACACACACCGCGCATAGCTCTCCCTCACTCAGCCAGTCTCGCTGTAACCACGCTTGTGTTGACATCAGCATTGTAGTTGCAAAAATATTACATTTCCGTGAATGAATTATATCAAGCACAGTATGAATAGAATATCACTAGTATAACAGTATTTTAACCGAAAACAATTAAAAAACAGTAACATATCTTGAACATCGGAAGGTTAGGTAAAGTCTTTTGTTTTCATGTACAGTACTATACTGTAGATGCTTCGAACAGTTATACTGTATTGATCTCAGTCTTTTATAAAACTTTTTTCTTTTTATATCTCTAGCGCCCATGAATGAATATTTACATCTTCTGGAGGGGGTGATTCTGACTGGAGGTTGGAAAGAACACCAGCATCGCCTTAAAGAGGTTTGCTCTTGCTGTTCCAATATTCTTGCTGAAGAAGAACCAGCTGCATTAGATGATCAAAAGATAATTAGAAATCTCAAAGAAAGTAATCCACAATTCTTTAGTAATTAGGTAGTTTCACATATGTATATGGAAAAGTTTGCAATTATTACCTCTTGTGGCCATAAAGTAGTGAAATGTATAACAAACTGTTAAAATTAATTGAAAGTATAGTTCACATGTCTTACAGCATCTTCAGAAATATCTGCTGCATTTATAGTTAATCTTAGAAGCATTTATTGGTGATCTGATCTTCATGGCATGGTAACCAAATGTAAGTATATGGTGCTACTTTGAGTTGATCTTCACACCCAAGAGAAAACTTTAAAAGCATTTGTTGGCTGTGTTAATACTGTATGTATTTAGTTGAATACTTTGTGTTAGATGTATGGCATACATCTAACACATTATATGCAACTAAGACTGGGACAGATGCAAGGTGAGTTAATCTTATAGATCACTGCATGTATCAGTATTGCTTAAACAATAGCTAATAGAAATACTGTATACCCGTATCACAAAACAGGTATGGAAGACACTGAGTAAAACCAAGATGTGTGATGTAAGTTTTAAAACTAGTTCTGATATGGGTTATTTACATTAGTCCTGATACTGTAAGTATATTTTCATCTTGTGCCAACTGTACAGATTAATATTTATTGTCAGGATGGATTGGGAGACAAGTTTGTGCATTTACAGTAATGTGTGACTGTGATCAGCATTATAGCTATATCCAAAATAAATTACCGTATGTGTAATATTTCTTTCCACTTCATGAAATATTACTGGTATGTGCGGGAATTGCTTGGTCATCATTAGACTTACTTCATTATTACCTTAGAAATATGGTATATTTGCCAGCTGTAATTGATACAGTATATTAGAACTTGAATGTGAAAGGAATAAAAATAATCAGTTATACATAAAATTCACTAGTTATCATAGGGCTCCCACATACTCTCTGAAAATGTTTAAATTGTATGTTTATGGTGTACTAGATACAGTACAGTACTGTAAAACTCAAGAGGAGCAAGTGCCCTTTGGCCTTCTGAATAATAACATTAAAAGTGTATTTTAGGTAAATAACTAATTTTATTGTTAACAGGAAATATCATCTTTAAACCGTGCCAAAAAAGTAACTGAAAATCCCACAGGGATATCATTGCCTAGAGTTCTTCACATGATGAACTATCATATAATCACCCAGGTATTTCAAGCATCAGCTCAAGATCTGTAGTTGCCTTGTCTTTCATTCTTCCTCTTTGATCCACTCAAAGTTGTTGCTGTTCTGTGTTTGATCTGAGACATTACCTCATGAAAGCACATAAGAATCTTTGTAGGTTGAGTTTATTTCATAGTAATTGGGCAGTAATTTCACTGATGGAGGATTGACACTACTTGATCAGACTATTTTGAATAGTGTTGTCAACTTTTTGGAAGTCTTACCATTTGATGACTAAAATTTCAACCCGATGAATATCACTTTCAAAACTGGCACACCCATAAAGCTCAAGTTCATATCGAGTTATTAACAATGAAGATTTCTTATATATAATTTCAAGATTGCAGAAGGATAACTAGAAACCAGTCAAGAGTAAGCAAAAACATTGGGTACATTTTAAGACATAAAAGGAGACTATTCAAGTACAAGGGTCATCTGAACAACTGGCTCAGCAGCAATGACAACATTGTGGTTTATGACTTCACTTGTAAATCTGAAGTCATTACAGATTACCAACTATAAATATAACCAAGATTAAAAAAAAAATAGTTGGTCTGTGATTAAGGTTACAGTACTGTATAGCCAAAATACAACAATTATTGGCAATGCAATAGTATCATTTTGCACTGGTTTGTTCAAATACAGGAGTTAAAACATAAATAGTTTTCAATTGGCATTTTGACCCAATAATCAGAATGCAAACTTAGTAAATATTCAGATTGGTCAGTTATGATTTATATATATATATATATATATATATATATATATATATATATATATATATATATATATATATATATATATATATATATATATATATATATATATATATATATATATATATATATATATATATATATATATATACAGTATATATATATATATATATATTTATTTATTTATTTTTTTCTAATAACTCATTGTTCCCTTATTAGTTCAGAACTTTTCGTAGATTAATTATCAAAATTATGAGGAGTTTAGGTGTTTTGCTACCTGTGCCCACCTTGATTGTTCTATGCACTCCTAATGATGCAAAATCAACAATTACCAGGTGGAAGTTTGGTGTTCAGGATATTTAAGGAGCAAACAGCCATTTTAACTTACATGCATTTTCATACATGACTATAGTATGACAAATATATATTTCATAACCAAGCAATAATCTGTAAGGAATAAGCATATATATACATAGAACTTGCTGTATACTCATTCAGCACAAGACAGCTATTGGTAGGCTTTTTAGGTCTGTTTGGTATGAATGATATGATCTACCGTGTAACATTTAATGATATTTATGGTATAGAGCTTTATGATATAATGTAGTAGATTAAATATAAATATTTTAATTAGAAATCTAATAAAATTATGAAAATTATGGTAAAATAGGTTTGCAAATACAATAATAGTTGGTACCAATACTTTGTGCCTGTGACCATTTAGTGAGAATTATAGGCAGCAAGGGGAAGACTCATGCATTTTGTGAAGAAACTCAGTCATTTTGCATACTGTAGTTACAAGAATATGTTAGGTAAAGAATTTGTGATATAGTGCCAAACAAAATAAACATGTTTCTGTTGTCGCTGTGTGATTTACTGCATCAAGTAAAATATTGCAGAAGATGGTAGAGGATACTAGTTGACTATACAGAATTTTAGTTTTCCCATGATGAGCAAATATTAAATTATAGAATACAGTCCAGGTATTATGCTTTCTTTGGCTAAAATATCTGGCCAAATAATTATTAAAATTGTACAGTCCAGTAGTTTAATACTTTGGATAAATTGATGGATCGTTTGCCCAAATATTATAAAAAAAAAAGGCAGACTTGTTCAGAAAAATATAAATTTTGTGGTGAAGGGACCCCCTCTCCCCCTGAAACAATGGTGGTGGTCATACTTATGATTCATATTCCTCATGAACTTTTGCAGTTTCGAATGACATGGATATCTTTTCTTATCATCTCATCAGAGAGTGTTTTGCTTTTGTTCCCATAACAAAATTTAGAGAGCACTGCCATTCAGCAAACTATCATCCTGTGTTTATGGGAGATGTGCCATCCAGGAATTTAGTGTCTGCTATGTACCAGTACAGTATTTAAATCAATTTTATTTGCCTGGAAAGAAAAATGCTGCCCTTTGTTCACGTGAATGCAGACTTTGATGTTTGGTTGTGAATTTGTAATGTGATTTCTTGTTCCTGGCATTCTGTGAAAAAGGGGCAGCATTGCTCTTTATTTAATGTATTTCCTCCTATAGGAAAGTCATAGTGGCACTGTATCTGGAAATGTTCTTTATTAATTTTCCCTCAAGTATGCCAAGTTTCACGCATTTTTCACCAAATGGATGATTCACCTGATGATCCTCCATTTGCTGTCCCATTATTAAGGAGAGGTACAGATGTTTTATCCAGTGGAACTTCTCTCATTCATATTTTAATTAAAAAAAGGGTACTGTACTTTACTGGAAATTGAGGAGTCATGTGAATAGGGCAAAATTCCTAGGAAATGAAAATGATGGAACATTTTATCTTTTCTCGTGTTAGGAAGAATCAAGGAATTTCTAGCACAAACAATGAAATGACATTTTCACTGAAAATCAGGGAAAAGTCAGGTCATTTTTAGATTGGAAGAGTGTAGTAATTTCTATTTGTGATGTAATTGTTTTTAGGTCATGACATATTTCTGATTTGTGGAAGACACCAATTAGGCCACCAATGATTTTTATTAATTTTATCCACTTATTATTATGTTTTCAATACAGTCAATCCTCGCTTTACGCGGTCCCACTTTACGCGTTTCCACGTTTACGCGGTACCCTGCCGAAACCGGAATGCTTACTTCCGCGGAGTGTGTACCCTTTTACGCGGAGAGCGGCACGAGCAGGGTGCACACAAGGTCGCCCAGTCATCAAAACATTACCGAGTTCTTCACCCGCCACCCACCACAGCCGGCCCAAGTCAGTGATAGTGATAATGATTGTGAGGATATGGACTTTGAAGGGTTTGACAAAGAGGCCCTGCATGCCTCTGTGGTGGATAGTGATACAATTGATACAAGTGATACAGGTGAGGGCCAATAATCTGCCCTCTGCCTCGGAACCAACCCCCCGCACATCAGTGGTATTTGGCCATGCTTTCACCTACTAATGTAAGTGTTAAAACCCTAATATTATTGATATTTCTCTTAATTATTAATTATTGTGTGCATACAAGCCATAGGAATTTAAAGTTATTTTTACTACAACATAGGTATTGTGTCTGAAAAAAGTGGAGTTTGGGGGTCGGCCCGGTCTCTATTTCAATTAATCCCATATGTTATGTTGTTCACTTTACGCGTTTCTCACTTTGCGCGGGCCGCCGTGGGTTCAATTGACCGCGTAAAGTGAGGGTTCACTGTACCTCATTTACAATATCCTGGATTCCAAGGATTTCTATTCCATTAGTTCAAAGACTGGAGGTTTTTAGTCACACTTTTTGTCTTAACATGTTCAGTAGATATGTTTATTTTATATACCTATGGTAGTTGCTTGTCTGAAATTTTTAAGTGTTTTGAATTGGGTCTTGTCAGTACCTACCATTAATTTGCCCCACATCTTACATACACCTCATCGGACAGCTCCATAACCCTCCCACTCCATTTAGAACCTTCCTATATTATTTTCCCTGACACTTCACCTCAGAAATCCACATTTTTTTTTCTTAAGTACGGTATAAACTGATCATAGTAACTTCAGAATATGTTGGTATATAATGGACAGAGTCCGTTATTATTCCGGATCCGGGTATACTAACGGACTTTTGGCTTTAACAGACCGACCTTCTCCACAATTAGTCCGTTATATTGGGGGTTTACTGTACTTTAGGGTTCATAAATTAATGACTTATAATGTGCAGGGCTGTTTTGTTTTACTGTGTTACTCCACCTCAAATTTAAGGTTGTCATCTGTATTGTATGAAGTGTCCACCAAAGTATCCAAATACTGTATGGCAGTGGTGTCAAACTCAAAAACTTTCGAGGGCCAATTCTTATTTTAGTTACCCTCTTCAGGGCCTACACAAGTGCAATGTCACATATTTGCAGGATTGAAGTTTACAGCTTCACACATTGCCTTACCTGGCTTACCAGGAATACCTCATTTGGGTTTGTCTGATCTTAAGTATGTAAAATTCATTTTACTAAATAAATATGCTTATATCTATTTCTATCATAATTTCACAGGATGATAAATTTAACCGTCATCTCACGTGCCACACCTGACCGTCCCAAGGGCCACATTTGGCACGCGGGCTATGCGTTTGACACCCCTGCTGTTTGGGAAAGATTAACATGCGGATTAGTGAAGTTCTACTTTGATAAAAAATTCATGTATTTTAACTTGTATCACTGAATTGACTGCCTTCTGCTGGCACTGCAAAATCATTATGATTGTGAAAAAAATAATACATGTAGTTATATAAGAATAATTTTTAGAAAGAACAGATGGGGGGAAGGTACAAGGGGAAAGTAAGGGAAATGAAAACAATGATGAAATTTTATTGTGTGTAGCAGTTCTCTTGGTCTCTCTTTACTATACAGTACAGTTCTCTGTTTTATCTTTGCAATTACTGTATATGGTACATTAAACTTGACAAAAATTTGAAATAAAAATGTACTTTGATTATTTTTTTATCAGGATTTAGTCACTTTGTGTGGATAATCTTGCTTGCAAGCTGACAAAATCTTGACAGATTCTTTTCAATTTGTTTTTTTATCTTGTTGCTGCACTATACAGGTATCCCCCTATTTATGATGGGGTTACATTCCTGAAAAACCCATCGCTGGTTGAAATATCATAAATTAGGATCATTATAACATCGGGTTCAATGGGATACATTCCCAGCCAGTCTGATGCTCATTTGTATCAGGTTCATTCAGAATTCAAATTGTTTAATTCATTTTTTAAAGAAACATGAATTAAGCTGAAATCCGAATTATAATGATCCGAATTTACGAAGGTACAGTGTTTGTTGCAATATAAAATTAAAAATATTAAAAAGTAAAATAATTTTATCATCTACTGTATTAGTTTTGGCTGGTACTGAAGACTACAGTTATAGCATTTCATTAAACTAACTGAAGAGGTGCCAAGAGACAAAATATTTATTTTAAAATCTACTTATACACTATATTGAATGTTTGTTTGTAAATGAAAGAGCAATCCATCAGGATGTAATATTTCTCAATCTTTCATGCAAAGTACAGCACTGTACTGTAGTCTTTCTCATTTTAAAATGTTAAAAATCTTTAGATAGCATTGGTAATATCCTCTTAGGCAATTAAGGTTAGCATAGTTTGGTGGTCTAATCATGAAAGGAATGTTTAGGGAAATCTGAGCCATAACTGGAGTGAATAGTTTGTCAGCAGATGACTTCCTCTTATACTTACAGTGCCAGGTACCATTAGCACAATAAGGAAACATCAAAGCCTATCCGTATGGATACAAATCTTACAATTCATCAGCAGAGCCAAGATTGAGAATCTCTAGCTTACTTGCCTTTATATAGTGACTATGGAATGGATACACAAAACCATACCGAAAGACTGCTTTGCCAACGTTTCCTCACCAGAGGATTATTGTTGCATCTCCTGGGTTGCGAATACCTAGAACTTCTTCCCATAAAATTTATGACACCTTCATAATGTTTGTACCAACTTTAATTAGGGTAATTTGAACATCTGTTATTATTTGTAGCTCTGTATCTACAGTATTAGGAGTACGGCGGTCTAGTGGATACAGTGCTCGCCTCCTGTTCCAGGGGTTGGTAGTTCGATTTCCAGGCACTCCCAGTTCACCCAGCTGAAAATCTGTATCCAAGTTTACAACTTGGGGAAGTGAATGTGGTCGAGTGGGGTACCGACCATGCTGTCTCCTTGTGTACCGGAGACATAGTATACAGTGTGCTGTATCCACACTGTCCTCAATGGGCAGTCATGCCTATGGAACCCACTTTCATCTACAGTATTATCTTAGGATAGCTTCAAAGTAACAGAATTTCTTATCATAATTACCATTATCCCCAAACTTTTCATTAAGTTGCATCATGAAATCCCTTGTGACAGATGTAAACTGTGAAAGGTACCGAGACAATGCTCATGAAAAAAGGAGGATTACATAACAAGACCCTCCCAAGAGAAGATATGGTGGAACCTCGCATATCAGAATCTCAGACATTCAAACATCTCAGATAACTGAAAGAAATGGAAAATGTTACAAGTAAAAGTGGCAAAATTTTTAAGCAAATCTAATAAAATTTGAAAGATAAATTGTGGTACCAACCAAGAAGACAATAAACACCTCCTGAGCATGCTTTGGGATAATTCAAGCAAATTCTGTCAGATAACATTATGTAATTTATGAGGATGCCAGCAATGCCTGCCAGGATACCAAACGACTATATCCTTCATCACCAGGCACCAGCCAAAGGTCTACTCCAAGGTCTATTTCTTACTTCTCATTTGTCTCAACCAACAACAAAATTCCTTGCTTTAGCTTTTATTATAAAAAGCATGAAATTCCATCTGTGACAATTTCTTCAAGCTGCAGTATTACTCCAACCATCATTACTCTGGATCAGCACCTCTCCCACTATTATTACTCCAGATAGTAGAACTTGCCCCCACCATCAGTACCCTGGATGGCAGAACGGGTACCCAGTATCACAATACTCCAGGTGGTAGCACTGCTACTACCATCAATACTCCAGATGGTAGCACCTCTTCCGCCATCGATGCTCAAGACGTCTTTATTGCTACCACCATCAATACTCCAGATGGTAGCACTGCTACCACCATCAACACTCCAGATAGTAGCACCTCTACCACCATCAATACTCCAGATGGTAGCACTGCTACTACTCTCTATACTTCAGACAGCAACAATGCTTCACCCACCAATAGTCCAGAACACATAATTGTTCTTACTATCACTAATACAGATGGAAGCATTGCTTCTATCATTACTATACCTATACCCAACACCTCCCACCAGCAGGGTGATTAAGTTTTGGACTGTATTACTATACAGTTTATACTAATTGCAATTAATGTTTTTTTTTAAATAGAAATTTATACAATATACTGAATTGTGTGATGCATGAAAATAACTGCCAATATCACCACTGACCACCTGTACAGCTGATTAGGTAAGCTGGGTGGAGCTGTATCATACTGTACAGGTATTATATTATCCGTTTATATTGTTTTGTGGTGTGCAGTGTTACTGTACTGTACAGTACTACTCTACTGCATACGGTATAGAGTTTCTATGTATTACAGCAATATGGTAATCATTACATGGTGTATTACTTTTGCCTTTAAAATACTGCACAGCTGTTATCACTTTTGAACATCATAAGATGTGTTGGTGGTACTATGGTGACACATATAACGGAATGGACATGTCAAAAATGTGGCCGTAACGCAAATTTTCATAACATTAATAGTTTTTCCCCATATACGTACTGAAGAGGCATTCACATGGAAATTTTTTTCATTCAGTCAACACTTATAATGGCGATATACATTTCTTAACATATTAATTATAATTTAGATATTTTACTTATCACGAATAACAATAAATACAGTACCTGTACATAAAAATACATAATTTTTACCAATGGCGCTAAGTTTTTCTCCTGGATCAAACCTCCGTCCAACATCGAGTTGTGCATCCAGTGTAATTCCTTTTTGTGCTCATTTAGGTGTAGTACACTACAGTAGTACTGTACTTGCACTTGAACTTGCTGTCTTTTTTGTAGGCATCTTGAGGAGATATACATTTCAGAGTGTAGGAAAATCTTGAAAGAACAACAGCCAGACATGGAAATAGACCGTAGCTGATGCACTTCCAGATTCAAAACAAGGCCCGCCACCAACGTCATCAATACGCACAAATGCGATTTGAATTTCTTAAAATAAATATAAATTTTGGGTAAATTTTCTTTTTTTGCAATTACAGTAGTGATAAAATTTTTTATATACTCGTACCCTGTATATTTTTTTTAATAACGTAAGGGCAAATTCACCTTCCGTATAATGATTTTAGTGGTAGTAATTTACAATGTCCGTAAGGGCGAATTTCCATAACCAGTATTCCCGTAATGCAGGGGTCCAGTGTATCTCTCACTACCATGTCCTGGGTTCGAGTCTTGGCTCAGGACACACGAGAAGGGCTTTACCCCGTGAGACCCTAACCAAAACATCTCAGGTTTCCTCCAAGTACAGTACTTCAGTTTCCTCCCGTACTAATACTGTACCGGACAATAAAGTTCATAACAAAGTAACAGAAAACAGACCAACCGCCTGAACAGCTAGTATGGTGAGAAGTGGTGAAATAATAAATTACCAGTAATATGAAGTAATAGTTCACTAAGATGGCAACTGTACAACCACTAACACCAAGCACTGTTACCACATTTTGTGAGATGCTTTAAGCTGTGTTTGAATTATTTTCATCTTTGAAACTGTACAGTATTACCAAACAGTATACACTGTACATTAGTGAGGTGATACAAGTGGTAAAAGAAAAAAGATAGCCAAATAAATATTGCTGGCAAAATTTATGTTTACAAACAGTATATACAGGAAAGGAAAGGGAATTTCTGTATCTTAATTATACAGTACAGTGTAATATCATTTATTCATAATTAGTGATTTTTCATTATTAAATCGTTTTTCTTGAAAGTAATGGCATCTTTCCTCATTTTATCCAGAATTCTCTTCATATTACTGAAATAGTATCTCTTAGTTTTATTATTAAAATTCATCAGATACATTTGGTAGTTCACATAAAGGAAAGACATTATAAAGCATGATAGTACAGTCTGCCTTCAGAAGACTGAGCTCTCACTCTATCCAGTTACTGTATATAGATTTTGCTGGTTCTTACTGCTGCTAACCTAAGCTGACCCTTTTTCACCTTGGAGGATACTGTACCACCATTTGTAATTGGAAGTATTGTTATCAAGTATGAGTCTTAAAGCTCTTGTTAACCCCATCCCTTTTATATGCTCTCATATTATTACTGTTATACAGTACATGCATGTGCCAGCTCGGCCATGGTGTAAAAAAAAGTTAATACTGTCTACAGTACTGTATTGGTTTTATACCAAATAAAATACGTACTGTATTTGAATATGATTGTGTAAGGTACTGTACTGTATTTCTTCATGCAAGGTTTTATTTTGACTGAATTGTTTTGCAGGAAAATTTTATGAACTGAGGTTATTTATAATAATCATTACTGTAAACAGTATTTGTATTTTCAATGGCTATTTTTTATTTATTTTTGTCAGGAACTGCATTCCCCTAAACTTTTTCTGGTAATACTTTGTCGGACATATAAAAAAAATCACACTCTTTTTCCAGATTGTTTGGGCATACTCACAAGCATACTATTGTTACTTAATTTTGTTTAACTGAAGGAAGGGCATGCAATTTCAGCAAAAAAGAAAGCATACATGTACAGTACAGTAATTTTTACTTTGGAGTTTTTGGCGTGTGTTTTTATAAATAAAAGACATTATTTACATCGATATTTCAAGTTCTTTTCAGTCATATTTACATTTTCATGTGTACTAATGGTGTGAAAAATGAAAATAATTATAAAGGATCTGATTATCAATACAGTATACTGTCCTATGCATACTGTATAAAACATAGTGTCTGATTTTACAGTACAAAATTGATGACTGCACTAGTTCACATATTACTTACATAGTTGGTTATCTGTAACACTTAATTTGCCTTAGTAATAGATTTATTCTGAAGTGATAGTGTCACTCAGGTATGAAGCTTTATGATGGTTCTTTCTGATAGTCTTCATTACATACCAGAGCCATATGACAGGTCATTGACATTAAGGTACTTGTCATACAGTACTTTGGCTTTACAGTATGCCTTCTATACTAAGTCTCCACTACTAATATACTTCAGTAAGATTGTTCTTTACAAACTCAAGCTTTCAGTAATACGTCCCTATGGAGTACTTAGCCTGTATAATCTTTAGGTTAAGTATCCCATATAGTTATGTACACATATAGAACTTAACTATCTTTCTCCGGAATCCTTAACAGATTTACGCTTTATAGCTTAATGCTACAGAATAACTCAAGTACTTAGCATCTACCAATGGATGGACCTTGCATGGCTTGAAGGTAGTGTAAAAAAACTTGATCTATTGGATATTTTTGTGTGTTCACATACATGTTGTAGTACTGGAAATACTGTACAGTATATGATTTCCTACTTAACATGAGTAGGAATCATTTAACTATGTTAAGAAATTATGTACTGTAACCTAAATTATACCATGCTTACTAAGAAAAAATGACTGGTGATATTTTACTTAATTTCTAGATATGCAGTTTATGTGCCATAACAGAATGTATCTGAGAAGAGTATAGTTTCAGCTCTTATGTAGGTACTTGTGTGAAGAGCTCCTAATGTTAAGTATAGCTCATGTGATATCATTTATAACTTAGCACAGCAGTACAAAAGGTGCAGTATGTTGGTGCTGCATGTTGTTTAACACATTATGCATTTTTCTCAAACTTCTTTTTGTTTTCTCTTGTCCTTTGAGGGAAGCACTAAGGCAACATTAGGAGGACATTAAATTGAGACATTAGTTTTCTGTATAAATTTTAAGAAAACTTTTATGTTTACAAAAATAATAGAGTACAAGAGACTCATACTGTACTACTAGTCCATTGTGGGATTTATTTTTCACTTGTATGACTGTGAAGAATTAATTACAGATACAGTGAATGTTATGATCCAGTGTCTTCACAGTTTTGAACATTTGAGATCAATGGTACTTGTAAGGAACTTAAAAAGTTTTTTCTTCACCTTCTGTGAATTATTTAGGCTCTGTATTGTAATACGGACTCTACTTCCTGCCATAAATTCATTGTGTTTATACCCCACACTGCATGGAAATCGGTAAAAAAATTTAAATGCAATTTTCTTAAAATAGGGTTTTGCTGGGGTCATTACTTCTATTCTAGATGCCTCACTTATGGATACCTGTTTCATGCATGTTCCTTGATGGTGGATATGAAGAATGTTGGCTTTGGAATGATTTCTGGCAGCTTTTAAATGTGGCTATAGTTATTGACTAGCTATCCTTTCATTCTGTTTTTCCAGTCATTCTTAAGCACTGCTTCCTCCTGGATGTCCATCCCCTCAATTTTAGTCCTTCCATCTTCTTAAACTTAAAAGAGAGTTGATATAAGTAGTTACTGTACTATATATCAACTGCTCATCAATCATAGACTTATTGTGTACTATATTTGGACTGAATTTTCAAAAAATTTCTTCAATACATAAATATTTGTAGTAGAGTCAGGGATGGTCATTGATAGACATGATGAAAACTTACAGATGACTTTCTGTACCCACTACCCATATTCTTTTTGTAACAGTCCCACATTTAATTCTTCAGTACAGGTAGTTCTGCTATAACGCGATAATTGTGTTCTTGTAAAATATCGTGTTATAGAAAATCGCGTAATAGAAATAACAGGGCTTATGGAGAAAATAGGGTTAGGTGCAGTTTACTCGAAATCGAAAAAATTTAGTAGTTAGCCTAACACAAAGGATAGCACAGTCTAAATAAATGTTACATTCATATCTAATAATGAAATCATACAGTAAATTTAACACTTTACCTTGAAAAAATATGAATGTAACTTGATGGGGGAGAAGGGTGATTTTGAGGTTGATAACATCAAGCTTCTCTTCAAGTGTTATATCCTTTCTTTTACGATAATCACCGGGAATTCTATCATCAGAATGCTTTTTGGAGATATTCTTCTTTACCATATTCACAGTTAATACCACAAAATTGGAGAAATAGTAAGCAAAAATCGCGTTATAGCAAACAAGCGATCGCGTTATACAAATATTGTTCCGAATTCATAAATCGCGTTAGAGCAAATTCGCGTTATCAAAACACGCGTTATAGCAGAACTCACTGTATTACTGCTTCAGTTAT